CAATCCTAAATAAAATTATTTAAGTTTGGCTTTTAAAATTTGGATTCGTTGTGCACAAAGAACATAAAATAGGGAGGAGAGTGGGGGGGGGGGGGATTAAATTAATTTTTTTTAATTTTAGAAACTTTGTCACAACGTAAAGATTACACAACAAATATAACACCAACAAATTGTGACCTGGAATCACACTCAGCTTTAGGCCAATTACTGTGATCCCAATGTGGGATGGGGCTAAATAAGGCGTCCATGCAAGTAATTCGTCCATTCAAGTAATATGTTTTCTTTTTAAAGTTATTTCCCCAATTCTTGTCCGACTTACGCTTATAATTTGCCCAACTTCATTTTGACCTCAGGCAGCTGACTGCCCTCGCTCCGTACGCCTATCCAACAATTTTCAAACCATTTAAAACTGTCCCTTTAATTTCGAAAATGTTTTAAATAGCTAAAGCAGATATATTCAAATTTGGTCAATCTTATGATTTTATCCAAAAGATTTGAAAAATAAGGAATTAAGGCAAATATCATTCAACATTGCTAAGTCATGTCCGACCAACATTATTGAACCCGTTTTCCACCTGTTTTTCTTTATCCGGAACCAAACAGCAGTGAGGAGCAAGGCAGATAAGATCACAGCAACTACAACAATAACAACCACAACGGTAGTATCTAAAAATTAAAATTATAACAAAAATTAACATCTTAGCCAATCTCGTTCCCGAGCATACACGTTCGCAGGTTAAAGGTGGGCATAGCGAACGGCTATTCCTGCGAACGGGCATGCTCGGGGAACGAGATTGCATCTTAGCAGCATGTGCATATTCCAGTCATGGGGCGTATCACAACACGGGGTGAAAAGGCGTAAATCCTTTAAAATATTGGTCAATAAAACGATTATTTTTTATATATATATATATATATATATATATATATATATATATATATATATATATATATATATATATATATATATATATATATATATATATATATATATATATATATATATATATATATATATATATATATATATATATATATATATATATATATATATATATATATATATATATATATATATATATGGAGTTATACTTAGCTCCAAATAATTTTTGAAGTTAGCCAGTAACTCCAGCTTTAGATGCCTAGCTCCTAAATGATTTTTGGAGTTATATACTTAGCTCCAATGATTTTTTGAGTTAGCAAGTAATTCCAGGCTTAGGTAACTAGCTCCTAAATTATTTTTGGAGTTAGCCAGTAACTCCACAATTCATATTTCAACTCATAAGTTTTGATTTACACAAGTTACTCAAGTGTATATTTTGCTTTGGAGTTAGCCCTTTAGACTTTGTAGGTAGCGTGGCTCCATAACTTCCTACTTTCTACAGGCATGCTCGAGAGAATGCCTCTAAACAGCACAAGCGGAATACAGTTATTCTAATAAGATAAACTATTAGTTAAAGACTTTTCTGTGACGTATTTCGTACAATTGTCCCAAATAAGATATCCAAGATTTCTAGAAATTGTTTCGACTTACCGACAGGGGTATGCACAGCATCCTGTTCTGCAGGTTGAGTAGAAACTTTCAAATATTCGCTCGTCGCATATTTAGTCTAATTTCATAGCAAAATAAAAGTTTCAAAAAACATATCGGACTCATTTGGTTCAACATGCAATGCAATATCCGACTCAGAACATGATAGAAAATTCATGTTTCGTACTTTTTCTACACAACAAAGTTATGTGCGTATAGTTTGTGTTTAACGATTGATCAGTCTGTACACAGCATAAGACGAAATATCAGAAAATATCAGACATGGTTTGTACCATGAATGAGCACAGGGCCTTTTTTAAGAATTAGCCCATGGGAGGGGGGAATCTACAACAAGGGACCATTGTTGGTGATGGTATCGTATGTTGTAGGGTACTGGTATTTTTGTATTTTTTTACCCCTATAGGACTTACAATTCGTGCGTTTTCTGAAACAGAGTTTTGGATGTACAGCGTTACATTATGCTCTAAATGAGTCTGAATCTTCAGTTAAGACTGAATCTTCAGTTAAGTACTTGCATAGTATGTTTATTATAAGTACCACAACTCGGTGACTCAGGGGATAAGAAGCTTGGTAAACTTAGGGGGCGCGACTCCCACGGGGCGCCACCATGGTTGGCGACGAGCTGGAAAATTTTGAGTCTTTAGGTCGTCGGAAACAGCATTTTCAGAGTCTCAACTACTTCGTTATGCCCTTTCATTAATTCTTTCATTATGATTTGTCAGTCTATGCTATCAGTTATCCGTGAGTCAGGATGGATTATTATTAGAAATATTGTTATTAAAATATCGATCACAGATATTTGATTAATATATGTACGATTTCAAATACTTCTAGTTTCGAATTCAAATATTTCAATTTCAATTATTTTTTGGGGGGCGAAAGCTATTCCGAGGCTTAGCCGAGGCTTCCAACAATTAATCTATATAGGGTCTGGGATATGCGATCAACTGGAAAATGTTTTAAAATCTAAGGTATTTACGACACAATGCTTAGCATTTTTAAAAAGCCATCGAATTTAAAGATAATGAAATTTTTCAATTACTAGGCTGAAACCATGGGGACTAAGGGGTCTTTGCCCCCCCCCCCCCCCCCTTCTCCAGTTATTTAGTAAAAAAGGGCCCTGGGTGAGCATACTGCAAAATTACCTCAGCTGTGTATCCTCGTAGAGCAACAGCATACTGTTTGCCAGGTATAAGGTTGCCATTTTTGTGTAAGGTTGCTCTTTTTTTTCTACGGTATGTATGATCGGATTCTTCACCATCTCCAACTATAAAGTTCTTGTGTTGTTCGAATGAGTCGCCTTTGAATACAAAAGCAATATATGGGAAACCAATTTTGTTTTCTCGTCTTATCCATTCTTGATACGACAGTAGATTCCGACTGAAAGTTTCTGCTATATTTGTTACCGTTTCATCCACCATCACCACAATAACTCTATAAAACCTATACAAGGAAATAACTATTTTAACAAGGTTTACTGAAATTAATGTAACGCTCAAACAGAAGATGCAAATTGAGCAACTTGGATTTTTACTCCCTTTTATAGCTGCATCTTTAATATTTCTTATACTGTATAAGGCTCCAGCCTTCCAATGAGTCAACTCGCATGCTAGCTGCGAGTGTTTTCATCCAATCACAATGCTCAGCAGTTTATTTTAATTAGATGTAAGCATTCGCAGCGAGCTTGCGAATTTATTTTTGTGATGAGTGTAAAAAAAGATTTGCAATTGTTGCCATACTTTGTTGTTCCGCGATTTGTCAACATAAATGGCATATTTTCGCACATTACGCGAGAAAAGCTAATTGCTTTTATATTAAAAAAAATGACATGACTTTGTTCTTCAGAAAACCTTCCCCCAATTGCATGACGTCTTGTGAACACCTATACGTATTTTCTCACAAAAATTTACAGGTTTCTTGAAGGTTTGCAAAAATTAAATTTGTTATAAAAAAATAACCGTACTTGATATTTCCATTTTTATTCGAAAACTTTGTAAATGTAATGGCAATCATTCTCGTTGGATCGAACTCTTCTCTTGTAGGTAGGAACGTAATTGGAACAACAGTTGGCTTTACTGGAGCTAAAAATAAAAATATATAACCCGCATATGACCCCTGGTTAAGGCAACTTTATGCATGCAAGCCTCCAGGGAGAACGAGCGTTGATTTTTAGTAATTAAAACAGACAATTGCAACGGAGTTAGGTACAAAACATTTACAAAATAATTTTTCAGTGTTTTGGTTTCGTTCTTACACTACTAAAAATTTCGGGAATTACTACCACACTAAATCTGAAAAACGTGCATCAGAATATCAGATATTCAGCGCTCGTACACATGCAATCTTTTGAATGTCAATCAGGACATCCTAACAGCTCAGTGGGCAGAGCGTTGGTACCTTTGAACCAATTGGGTTCCACTGTTACGAGGTTGTGTTGGTATATTCCACAAATGTGGGCAACCCAGTAATCAAGATAGTTTTCGAGAGAGGATAAACATCACGAGAGAAGATAAACGCGCAGTTTTGGGATTTCACACTGCAAAACAACCAGGGTGAAATTCAAACCGACAACTTGATTGTATATCTCACTGGTCTGGTCTGGTCTAGTTAAAATTAAATTCAATCAGAATGTTATTTTATTTGTTATTTAATAGCGTTTTTAGAGTGCAGAAGCAATATAAATAGTACTAAGTTATAAACTCGAACGGGCTGTGCCAGCGTAGGTAGTGACAATCACACCAGAAAGCTGTGGATTGAGAGGGATTCAACTACAACTGAAAAATACAAGTAAAACTTCATTTCGAAAGAAGGATCGAAGACTCTTCGCCTAATTTTACTTTATTTTTCAGGCAGTTGAATCCCTCACAATCCGCAGAATCAATTATAGTTCTAAGTGTAATGGCAACTGTTCAGGACACATGGTTGAGAGCAATGTTTCCTGATTTGCCCCCATCTTGAATCTTGAATTATTGAAACGAAGAACGCAAAATGAATGAAAAGTAGAAATGAAATATACATACGTCCTACATCTGTTGGTTCCGTTCTGTTTTCACTGAAGTTCCCCCAACCAGCGCTGGTTCGTGCTCGGATGCGGAATGTATAATTAGTAAACGGCTTTAACACATTGATCAATGTGGAAGTTGCTCCTCCAGAAACATTTACAAGCCGCTCGTTTGAATTCACTCCCTGTTCTCTTACGTGAATGGCATACTGGATAATAATGCCATTTTCATTTTTTGGCGGCAACCAACTGACTGATATTGTCGTGCTGTTCCTAGCCCAAAGCGTCAGATTACGTGGACTGGACGGTGCTGGATTGGCAAAATAATTAAAAGATATCATTATAGTACAAGGAGGGCGTATTTCAGATCCTCTTTAACACTAAAGACTGGGCCAATCCCTCAACAGCAATTACTTCGGACCCTCCGGCAAACTATATTGCCCCTCCTCCCAAGCGGGTCCCTTCTGCATAAAATATTCACGAAAAAGGGAAGAATAACTTATGTGTAATATTTGGGACATTTGAAAAAGAAATGTAACATATCTATGGAGGTAAAAGCCCTTATCTTGATCAACTTTCTCATTGTCAAAGTTGCGGAATATAATGGCATGATCAAATGAGTTGCAAATTAGTTTTGTTTTTGTTGCACAAAATTCATCCAATGACATCATATCCGGCAACTTTGACAATAGAAAAGGTCAGCCTCGTACCCAGGTGCAAATAACGTACTAAAAATAGCAACACTACAGTGTTTCTATATAGATCAGTGGCAAAGATAGCGAGCGCGTGGGGGTGCTTGGGCAGGACACGACTGTGTTCTAGCACCCCCGCGCGCTCGCTATCTTAGCCACTGATCTATATAAAACACTGTAGTGTTGCTATTTTTAGTAATTTATTTGCGCCTGGGTACGAGGCTGAGAAAAGGTGATCAAGTTGAGGATTTTACTGTTCAGGTATATCCAATTTTTTCTCAAGATCATTCAAGTATGACAGGTACCAAATATTTATTTGGAGTAAAGTAAGTTTTATAAGTTTGTTTGAATAATAGTGTTTTTTACATTGACAAGCATACCTGCTTCATTTGTGCATGCAAACTTCAAATCGCTCTTTTCCCCATATCCAACCGACGTGTTTGCAACCATTGCAACAGAATAGTTTGTATACGGTTTTAAATTTGTGATATTTTTGCTCCGTTCAGATTCCATTGCAACAATTGAGTGACGTTCACCTCTTCCAACACGTCCATAATAAATTACATACGTTAAGATTATACCGTTTTCTTCCTTTGGAGCCTGCCATCTAACGTTCAGGCTTCTCGAACTAATCACCAAAACGTTCACAGACTGTGGACTGGTGGGTCCTATAAACAATAAAATAATATAGTAACTTTACGTTTTACAATCTCATGCGTTATACCTACACTTTGAAATTCTTCTCCTAGAGACCATCATACTCTCAATCTCCTCCGTTCTCTCAAACCAATTAAGAAACTACAATCACTTTCAGAAGTTGTTGGGACACCATGAAGTTTTAGATTGTAAGTGGATCATTACAGTTTGTTACACACAATACCGCTTCCCCCACCCCAATCAATGTTGTTTAAACCAAAACACATCAAATCTGACGAAAAATGGGACACAACATTGTAGTAGTTGATAGTAGTTGACTTCATAACAAAACATATGATAATGTCACAGCGCTACTTACGAGTCTTTTCAAGGACGAAACGCCGCGTACAGGGATACTGAATTGTACACACATGATTATCTCCTCTCGCTTTATATAATTTACATGCCTCCATTCAAGCTTTTTAGTACAGCGCGATCATACCTTTTGGGTTTGATCAAAAAATATATTTTTTTTACACCACAGGATATTTTACAGTTACAAGTTTGCATTTGCATCTCCATTTTTATGTTCCACAAGTCTACACATACATTTATTTTTATTAGGTTCACATTTATACAAATACATGCAAGCTGTTTTTTATCCTTAGTTCTCAGTTTCATCAAATATTACATCTTTTCACAGGCATACATTGTGCCAACAACACGAGGCCATCACAATATCATATTTCACACCAAACCTTTTGAACATACATTTAGGGACTATTGTGGCATAAATGTATTACTAGGACACCAATATGGTTCTCATTACCTATATCTAAACCTAAAAAACATGTAGGAAAACCCCAACACTGTAGAATCGTAAAGAATTAGTTGTCCCATAGTCGGAAGGCAGATCTCTTAGTAATAGCAGTATTGAGTCGTTCCAGAAAAAATCCACACTCCCCCCAAGGAGGAAATTTCTTCTGTTCAGAGGGGGAGGGAAGAAAAGTTTGTTTATGATAATAGTAAGTGTATTAGGATATCCGAAGGAGTTAGGTGGGGTTAACTTCAAATTTCCTATGTGGGCGAGGTATAGTTTTTTTTTCTGGAATGACCCATTATGTAAGTATTATACTTGTAGGATAATCCTGAGTAAATACAAGTGCAAATAAAATTATTTTGTATTTTACATTTTTATGTTTATATTTTGTATTGTTGTGTTTTATATTTTGCACATTTTTTGTAGACGTGTTTTCAGACTTATTAGAGCACATAACGAATAACAAAGTCTGTGATTACATGTTGTAATTATTACATATTACATGCATATGTTTAATTTTTTTATATTCATTTAGATTGAAAACAATAAAATCATTACTTACTGTCTGGCAAAGTATCAACAGATTTAGTAGAAATATCACTGACACCAATTTCATTGGTCGCTGTCATTTCAAAGATGTGGGTGCTGTAAGGCTTTAATGACGTCACATTGTATGACGTCACATTTGAGGAAAGCCGCTCTTGCATCGCTGTACTTGATTCACTTGAGTTGATGAAATACGTCAGAGTATAGTGTAAGATATCCTTGTTACCATCGAAATTTGCCATCCATTCTACGACCACTGACCTCGAAGTGACGTTCTTGATTGATACGTTGAGTGGATCCGGACGTTCTAGATGTAAACATTAAACATACAGTAATGATAAATTGTTCTCTACGGTGTGTTATTAAAGACCAGGGGCCGGTTGTACGAAAGGCATTTAAATCGCTATCCACCGTTTAAATCGCTATCCGCCGGATAAAATTTCAACGCTCGAGAAATCGCGTTGTACGAAGCTCGTTTAGCGCTATCCACCGGTTAAATTTTGCCTATCCATGCACCGTGTCAAACTTAAACGGTATCTTGAGACCGTTTAAATCGCTATACGGAGGATAAACTCGGAGTTTGAAGTAAGGGCGGAGTTTTCTAGGGGGCAAAACATTCAGGGTGGTGGTGATGATCATGTGCAGGGGCGGATCCAGGCTTTTTGATGACCGGTTTACTAGGTTCACCCAACTAATAGGGGGGTCCGGGGGCATGCCCCCCCAAATTTTAATAGATTAGACAACATCAATTTTATGAAAAAGAATATTCTTTAAATTAGTTATATACATGGAAGGTTATACATTTTCTTTCTTTGGAAAATCTGACAGGTTTATGTAAACCTGTCAAACCTATCTGAATCCGCCCCTGATGTGAATGTGCGAACGCGTGCTGCCGATGAACGCGTGAACTTATTTTTTGTATGTGTGTTTTACTTTTACGTTAATTTGCTGCAAAAAAGCGTATATAGAAACATGTTAATTTTAATATTTCTATCTTACTTAACGGTAGTTTAATTTAGTGCATTTAAATTTTGGCAGGGACAGGGGGTGCGCAATTTCTCGGGGGGGGAGGGGTGGAGAAAAAATTTGGGGGGATGCGCACCCCCCGCACCTCCAGAAAATCCGTCCTTGGTTTGAAGACAAAACAATGATTATTTCGGATGAAAGATCATGGGATAGTAATAGAAATGCACAACCCTGTTGAGGAGTTATCTTTTTAAATCCAATAATGGACATGAAAAACTCGTTCTTACAAATCGTATTTTTTTGTTTTTGGAATTGCTACTTTTTGGCGGGTAAGTTACGTCACAAACTTGGCGGCAAAAAATTAATAATAAGCTATTGGTGATTTTACTGAATCCATTTAGCAGAGCAGACTAAGGGTACTTTAATTAATTAAAACTGAAATCTGTTTTTAAATACAACCATTTTATGGGAAGATATAGCGATACAAATGTCGAAAAATCCGCCATGTTGTTACTAAAAATAGGTACGCGACGCGTACATGTATCTGCGAAAAAACTTGATTCACATTTTGTATTTTCTTGAAAGAAACTGAATAATGAAGATGACATGGGACAATTGAAAAATTTCATCACTTATTATAATTGCAGATAAGATTTAAAACAGGGCTATACACAGCGGGGAGTGCAGCAGGGCAAGTGCTACTCCCCACCCCCGCACCGACAAAATTTAACTAACTTTATAATGTGATTATGATTGTAACAGATAATTATGCAGTCAGGAAATAAAAATTTCATGCAAACAATATTCAAAGTGTCTATACAGCCGGCTATTTAGTAAACTGTTACCTGTCAATTCAATCCGTACTCATCAAATTTTCAAAACTTTATTGTAATCATATGAAGCAAAAGTTATGTCACTTGTTGTTTACACTTGCCAATGTTAACTGTTGAGTAACATACACAAAATATTTGGTGAACATGTCGAAGACCACTGAATAATTGAAAATGTTTTGATGGTCATGAGTGAAGTATATAATTAAATTCCAGTTCTGTGCACAGTTAATGATATACCACACTGTTTGGTTTAACACAAACAGCACATTCACACAAAAACAATCGTATTGTGGGAGATTATCGGTTTGAGTAGAAGGTATCACAAGTTTAGTTTTGTACATTGTGTGCCATTGATCAAATCCACCATATAATATATGATTACTCATTGTAGCTGTTAAGTTATTTTCCATAAGATTGTCTTGCAAGTTGGTTGTTCTGACAAAATTATCCAGCCAATATCCAGTACATTTTTCTTCACTCTTGTATTAATCCCTAAAGAAAAATATTTATGTTAGAAAGCAAAATGACAATGTAATGAGGCTCGGGAGGGTGAGGATTCTTTTATTTGACAATGTTTGTAAAAACTTTGTTTAATTAACTCTAATGTGTAAAACCAAAATGTATAAGTGTTTTAACTGATAACATCTTCAACCTTTGCTCTATTATTAAAACACTACATTTGATGACAGCTTTGTAGTTGGACTGTTGTTTTGAACAGAGTTATGGAGTCAATATACATAAATACAGGACCAGGATTTAATTCAATATCTCCTGAGAATGTTTTCACTGTTTAAAATATTACAGAAGTCACAGAAGGATTGTTTTTAATACTGTATAAATCTTTTTGTGAACTATGTTGACAAATGGCTTAAAATATACTCGAAAATATCCAATATTTTAACAGTGCAATATATTGATAAAAAATTCCAGAGTGCATTCCATGTAAACTCTACGCCGAAGATACGGCAATATTAACTATAGATAGTATAGTAAATATTTTCCGAACTGGCGAACTCGTGTATTATAAAACTTATAAAATATGTGGGACATATATTTGCACAAATTTGGTATTAAATATATATGTGGTATTTGACTACTTACCAGATGAGAATAAGATTCCATGTTGATAAATAACTTCGGAATAATATCGCAAGTAGAATGGCGAGAAAAGTCAGAAAACAAGACAGCCAATTCAAGATAAATTGATAAAAATGTCAAGATATTTTTGAAAGAATATAAAACACGATTTATACACGAGGCCTGACGCAACCTCGCAAGCCAGGGTCTTTTACCTGCGCTCGGGCTCCGGCGAAGATCCTGGTTCCCTCTGGTCACTTGAACTCCTAAAAATTAGGGCAACAAGAGGTCCTAGGGGAGGGTGGTTGAAATGTGATATGTTGTAATTTACAACTTCCGGTTAAATGTTGTGTTTGCAAGACCCGCCGAAGAGTGACTGTAAAGCTACGAGAAGTGACTTCAACTGTAATATGCAAAAACGTTCAAAATGTATTATTTTTCTTATTTGTCTGTAGTTTTCTGTTATAAATATTTTGTATGGAAACACTATTTTGAAGCCCAAGCAGGTTATTTGCTTGGAAAAGCTGTCCTTTGGTGTGTATATACTAGCAATTTTTCCAACCGGTAATATGGCGAGTCGCCGATTTACCAGCTTTTGCCTTTGATGCTTTTCGCTAAAAGAGCGTTAGAAGAACGTCCAACTCATGGCGTTTGTATAAATGAGTAATGCTGCTCGTTACAGTATATCGCGGACGCGGCTTTGCCAAACAATCCAGCTCAAAAATTATGTGCGATAAAACTCAGAGATCATCAGCAATAGATATTTTTCAGCAGCCATTAAAATATGACACTGACGAAGAGATTGATTGCGCCGCTGAACTTGACCAAAAGATAAAACTAATTCTACATGTTATTTTTCTATCATCCATTATATTGTTATCTCAATTTTGTTCACAGGTTTTGTGCCAAGTCGTTATTGCATGACTGCTACAGCATATAAACTTGACCGAAGGCACATAAAAGAATCGCTTGGCTTGCATAATTGCTTTGAGTTGGTTGCAAATTCTGACCAAAAGAATATCTTTTACGAAAAAGCATTCAGATACAGGCACTGATATTGATGCCTTGGAGGACATTTGCAGACCAATTAGTTATGCTGTAGTGTATGCAAAGCACAATGTTTATGTGTTGAGTGTAGTTTAGATATGGAAAGGGAATGATTTTACCTGATTAGACATATATTTTTGGGCCTGTGAAATATTCTTGACTTTGTACCAAATGAATACACAATTAATCACAAATGTGAATTTTGTTGAACTCAGTTTTTTTAAAGTGGGCACAAGTTGCACCATGTTCACACTCTCTCATATATATGTGATCATTTGCATATATAAACTCAATTTACTTCATGGGCAGTACAAAAACCCATACAGTAGTGCCAGAACAAAATTCTAAATTGAATATATATATATATATATATATATATATATATATATATATATATATATATATATATATATATATATATATATATATATATATATATATATATATATATATTAATTACAGCTATTAATTTCAGCTATTAATTTCAATTAAAGTTGTCACAGACAATAGTCAGATGTACAATAATATGAGTGCTAAATGAATAATGGAAATAATGATAGTTTTCAATAAGTTTAACACCTCAAATATATTATGAATACCAATTTAATTTGTATTCCCATGAGGCTATTGATGGGCTAATATAAAATAGTACCTTTTTAGCGTTCAATTGTACATTTAACTATAGTATGTGACACTAACCTTGATTGGAATAGCAGCATTATAATACAGGACAAGTGCAAATTGTGCATCTATTAATCCTTTCAAGCTAGGGTAGTCTTGGTAACCTGTGCTACAGCCATACAAATCATTGTTGCTTATTTGTGCAAGTGTTACAGTATTCACAGTCATAATTCGTCTTCATCTTCTGATGTGTCCACTGCATAGTACGTGCTTGGTGAATGTTCCTCTTGTGTTTGTTTAGCTAGACGTCATCAAATGCAGCGACAATTTGTCTATAATGTTGCTAATGTATCTGATGAAATATATGTGAAGAAACCTTCATGAAAGTGATCATATACCGTATTGTTGATTGCAAATGGTTTCAATTCCAAGAGATCAGATAAAATAACATTTTCTCCGAAGATTTGTGCTTGTGAGAGGATGCCTTCTTGACTTAATTCCTACAGCTATGTCGAAGTTGTTTATCATTTCTGCAGATCGATATTCCTCCAGTCTCTATATGCATACTTTAATATTAAACATTCGATTGGCTTCACTGTCTTGGGTGTTTTTTTGGACCCCATTCTTTTAATTTAATGTTAAGTTTAGGAAGATAAGAAAATCCGTCATCGGTCATCACACGCACGAGTTCCACAATT